GACGGTTTGATCCAAAACCTCGACTTAGAGCTGGCGCGACGTGCGAACCGTGCCAAAGCTGAACGCATCAAGATATGGGCTGAGGGCGTCCGCGAGCCAAGCGGGCGAAAGGCGGCCATATACGCACGGGCTGCTGACAGCTCGCCCACGGCGTATCTCCGCACGCCTACCACACCTGACGATACGCAACTCCACTGCGACACCAACGCCTTCAAACCTGACAAAGCTAGCACGGACGATAGCGACGCTGACACCGAAGCTGGCGGCTTCAGCCCCAGCGACGGTAGTTCGCCCGACACGGACAACGACGAAGACCACACTTGTGAACCACCACCTGCACAAGTCCCCGACATTCTCCCTGCCAACGCCATTGTTGCTAATACCAAAGACATGCTTAAGCTCATGGTCGACACCTGGGAGCCCATCTTGGGCAGGTACCGCGCCCGTGCAGGACATGACGCCGAAGCCATGCCGACGTGGGCTGACTTCTACGACGAGTACCGACAAGAGCTGCCTACGCCATCACCAGCTACCCCTTTCCACCTCACCGACGACCAACTCATCCACTTTATTCGCACCCGTTCACCGCGCCGTGCGGGGGGACTGGACGGCTGGACTACTAAGGAGGCTAAGGAGTTACCCGACGACATCCTTCGCCTCTTCGCCAGCGTCTTACGCGCTATGCAACGCACTGGCACCATCCCAGAACCCCTCCTTCATGTGCCAAACCCGTGCCTCCGAAAAGGCCGAGGCGAACTCCCAACGGACCAACGACTTCTCTCGGTGCTTTCCGTTTGGATGTATGCGTGGGAAGCGCCAGCTTACCGCAGCCTCACGGACTGGCGGAAAGGATGGACCCACGCCACGAGCTTTGGCGCTGTCCCCAAAGCTACCATTGGGGACGTCAGCACCTCTCTTGCCCTGCGCATCGAACACGCCAGGGCCTTACTCCTTCCCTTAGCTGGGGCTGCCCTTGACCGACAGAAGTGTTTCGACTACCTCATCACGGACATCTGCCTTAACCTTGCGCTTCACGCGGGGTGCCCCCAAGACATCGTTACTGTCCGCAGAAACTTCTACAGTCGCCACAAACGCTACATCCGCATGAACGGAGCGTACTCTAAGGAATTGGCCAGGACCAACGGTCACCTCCAGGGAAGCTCTTGGTCCCTGGACGACATTAAGCTGCTCATGTGTGTGTGGACCAAGAGACAGCATCGATACGTTCCGCGATCACTCAGCACTACCTTTGTTGACGACAGCAACTCCACTACTCACACCGCGCCTGAGTTGCAGAAATCTCTTGATGAAACCGCCAAGTTTGATCGATTTTCAGGTCAACGCATTCACCCTGGCAAAGTGGCGGGGTGGGCGCTCACCGACGAGCTTCACGCCGCCGTTACCCAGCTCACTCTGGCGGAACGGCCCTTACGCGTGGTCGACTCCTTCAAGCTCGTCGGGAGTTACATCAACGCCGAGGCAGCGCCGGCTCCAGCCGCGCTTAACCTCACGGCCACCGCTGACGCCCGTGTTCGCAGGGCGACTAGTCGCCTGCCGCGCATTGGCAAGCTCCCATCACCGATGCTTATTAAGGCGCGGCACGCCCGTTCCCTTGCTGCCAGCGTCTGTACCACGGGCACCGACATTCAAGCCCCATCAGGCCCCGTCAAAACTGCCTACAACCATGCCCTTAAGGCGGCTATCCGCCCCAAGGGAAACAAGTGGGTCGAGTTTTGGACTCTCATGGCCGTGTGCGTCCCAGGACACGCCCTGGAGATTGACGCCATCACGCAGCGTGAAGTTTTCCTGTGTCTGCGGCGACAGGTTAATCGCGACGCTACACTCTGCGGTCTCGTCAGGGATCTCCAACACCACGTTCAGACCCTGTTTGGTGGAGGACCTGTCGGACGACTTGTCCAGTCGCTCCAGCAGCTCCGTTGGACCTGGCCCACATTTGGCATCATGTACGACGACTGGGGCTGCCAGATCAGTTGGCTGAACTTACCCCAAAACGCCTTCCTTCACATGCTGCGGGCCTCACAACGCAGAGCCTTTCTGAGGAGGATCAAGCCACGGCGTCACGACCTTGGATACCTTGCCTCTGTCAGACAGGGCCTCGACCTCTTCGCCAGCACGTGGCTCGCCCGAACGAAAGGAGCAGCCAAATGCACTGCCTGGCAGCTGGCGCTCCTCCTGAACTACCTGTCGGGCGGGGACCACACCCAACAGCGACGATCCCGATCAAACACGTCTGCTGACCCCAGCCCCATCTGCCGATACTGCGACGAGGAAGAGGAAACTCAGGAGCACACTGTCCGCGACTGCAAGTGCTGGGCCCGAGAAAGACTCCCTCTCACCACCCTCATCAGTGACGAGCAGTGGGCCCGTCTTCCGCCGCACACAAGACACTGCGGGCTCTTCGATGAAGACCCAGCCCTCCTCGACCTGCAGGCCGACCTCGCGAGGGACCCGCTACCTCAGCCCATACCGCGGCCCCCACCTGAGGGAGATCCTGCGGCTTCAGCCCAGGACTCCTACACCACCTACCTTGACCACGACACTGGTTGGACATGGGTCTACGCTGCCACGGACGGTGCATGCACCAACCAAGCCATCCCATTGCTAGCACGAGCGGGCTACGGCGTCTACTACGGCATCGACCACCGCATGAACTACAGTGCACGCGTTCACGGCATTACGCAGAACGCACAGCTTGCGGAGACCCTCGCCATTGTCCACCTCACGGCATGTGCTGAACGGCCCGTACACGTTTTCGTGGACAACCAGGCGGTGGTCGATGGGTTCCAAAGTATCATCGACGGACACTCACCACCGCAGGGCACGCACGTGGAGCTCTGGGAAAAGATCCACCGATGCGTCATGGCCAAGCCCAACATGTTCCGCGTCGAGAAAATCGCAAGCCACCTGGGAGACATGGGCATCGACCTCGGGCTCATCGGGCCCATCGCGGAGGAGTTCAATCGTCAGGCTGACGCCCTCGCCACAACGGCGGCACGTACTCATAACCTTCCAGACGACATTGTCGAAGCTGCCAAAACACGACATCGCCAAGCGACCGTGCTTCATGGAGTCGCTGTCGCCATCTACGAGCGTAGACACCGCACACTCCCCCTCCCACACCGCAGGGCTGGGTTTACAGCTGCGGAACTCAACAAAATGGAACCAAACCCCCTGCTGTCTGACCAGGCACCACCCGCGGCTGGACCAGACATCCCACAGAACCCGGACGAGCTCTGGGCCGAGGCCCAACGGGCGATATTCGACGAACAGGAGGACGACCCGTTCGGCTTTGGCGGGGGCCTTGACTTCCTAGGCGACGGGCCAGCCAGCGCCAACCTTGCCCCGTCGGGCACCCGCACGTCGCCCTCGACTCCGCCACTGAGAGCGGCATCGCACCCACATGACAACGCCGCTCACCTTCAAGACGCTGACGAACAGGAGGACGACCTGTTCAGCTTCGGTGGGGGATCGGACGCTTTGGACGACGGACCAGTCAGCGAAAACCCTGCCCCGTCGGGCAACCTCTCGACGCCTACCGCGACTCCGTCCCCGAGAGCGACATCGCCCCCATACGATGATATCGGCCACCGCCAAGACGCCGACGACGACCTGGGTGACCCCCGCGGACTGAGTGGCATAGACGACGCACCGCCGACACCCCACGCTGCCGACCATGCCGCCCTACCGAGACGCCACCCTTCTACGCGGCCGACCTCAGAGCCCTCGCACGGCATCATGATTGGTCCCACCGCGCAAACCACTCCGCCCCCCCACCAGCGGCAGCCCGCGGGGGCGGCTTCAGCCCCCCCGCAGGGCACTGAACCAGACAGGCCCTCGCGCCCCGTCCACGCTTCCATCGTTGCTGAGCGAGAGGATGCGGCTCTCCCGACCTCTCGGGGCGTGGCCCTAGCGGCTCCAGCCCTGGGGTCGCGTGTTCCCCTCCAGTCACCTTTCAAGGGTGACGGACGACAGCGTACAGGGTGCCGCACTACGCTAGTCCACCATCTGGACAGGCGTACCGAGGACCTCGCCTCTGTCTCGAGGCCCTCGGCCGCTGGCACTGAGCAGCCACCCCTCACCGACCGCGAAACCGAGCTGTCCCAGGCTATGGCTGTTCTCCAGCAGAGGTGCGTTGCTCTCGCCGCGGACCTGGCCGCCGCCCAATCTCGCCAAGGCCCTCTACTCCAGCGCCTCCACAGCGCCGGGCGAGCCTTCGCCGAGCTGCTCACGACCTCGCCCGATGGTGCCGTGCCGTCACTCACCATCCAAGCTATGCTGTCATCGTTCCGCGGCGCTCCACCTGGTGCCCCGCGCTAATCTCCTCCTTTCTGCCTGCCCGTGTGTACGCGTGGCTCCGCGTCCACGGTGTCAGGGCGTGGGGGCGGGGGGTGCCCCGTCACTGCGCGCCGCTTTGCGGCCAAGCGCCCAACTGGCGGTCTGCCAAGCCGCCTAGCCACGTGTCAGCACGTCGCCTTTCTTGTTGGGGCCTCTTTCTTTACGCGGTCTGACAGGTGAGATCATCACCGTCTGTCCGCCGTCTGTAGCGTCTGTCGCACTGCGCCGGGGGAGGGGTTTTTTGTTGCCCGCCCTCGTATCTAAAGGCTGCACCGCCGCAAATAGTGTTTTGCGAGTTGTCGCACCGCAGTGCGCCTCGCGGACGGACCCTGGTCCGCCTACTTGTCCGCTCTCTCTCTCTCTCTCTCTCTCTCTCTCTCTCTCTCTCTCTCTCTCTCTCTTTCCCTCTCCCTCTCCCTTTCCCTCTCCCTTTCCCTCTCCCTCTCCCTCTCCCTCTCCCTCTCCCTCTCCCTCTCCCCCTCTCCTCCCCAGGGGCCAGGGGCACTCCCCCGTTCGCCCTTTTCCTTCCCCTCCCCCTCCCCCTTCCCCCCTCTCTATTTCCGCCGCCGATGCCTGTTCCCGCCTTCCCACCCGCGCCCTCAACATGAAGTTTTCCAGTGTGCTTGATTTGTGCGCCGCCCCAGGTTCGGGACGGAGTTCACTCAGACTGCCCAGAATTTGTTGATAACCCTAGACGGCAAGGATGAGCTTCCCGAGGATCTGACCGACATATTTGAGAACATGGAGCGCAGCAGGTACTTTTGCATCGTGCGCACCGAATGCGTGATCCAGCTGGTGAGAGCGGTCGCGGCGCCGCCGATGATCAGGGACCGCAAGAGCAAGCAGGACATCGTGGACAGGTGCGAGAACCTCACCGAAGTCATAGACGACGTCGCCAGCTGTGATATTGTGAAGGAGTTGGCAGGCGACGAGCAGAAGAAGTCGTTCACTCACTTCTGGTCCAGCGCCCTCAAGGTCGCCTCGGACCAGCAAGCGCTGAAGTCTTTCCTGGCGCAGGAGATCTCCACTGCGAGGGCTGGAACCGCCGCGGACATCGCCAAGTCCGTCGAAGAGGCGACGAAGGCAGCCGGCCAGGGCCAGGATCCAGCTACCACCCAGCAGACCGTCCCCAATGCGATCGATGAGCCCAAGGTGTTGAGCGATGACGCCCTGTCGAAGTTTACTAACGTGGAGGCGCGCTTCACCGAGCACGGCGCCTTGTGGGGCGAGTTGATGACGACGGCAGCGGCAGCGACAGGGTCCGAAGACCATTCGACGACGAGTGCGAGTGCTATCCCGGCGAAGCTTCGCTGCTCAATCATGGAGTGCCTGCTCTTCAAGCTGCAAAGTGTGATGGCGGAGGCTGCCATGCTCAAGCGCTTGGCGACGTCGGACGATGGCCTAGACAACTGCTACTACAACCCGAGCTTGAAGACGCCGGGGCTCTGGGCGAAAGAGCAGAAGTTCACGATTCTTAACTGCTGGGGCCCGCTCACCCTGGTACCGACGCTCGGGTGCTGGAAGGTTTGCACGTTCGACAACACCCCCATCTACGTCCGCTCACCGTTGCCGAAGTCGCCCCCCCCTGTTGTCCCACTTCCCAGCTGCTGGGTTGGTTCGAACCATCGGCATCAACAATGACACGGGGGAGCCTACCGAGCGGGCAACCATGGAGCTCAAGTTCAAGGAACACACAGTCGAGTTCGTTTACGCCGAGAGCTTGATCGCCAAAGAAGTGAAGCACAATATTAGTTTCAGCATGCCGTACCTCCAACTGACTGGACCCGAGGCCACAGCACCAGGCACGAGCACGACTCCAACCACTGGCCCGTTCGAGCTGACGCGTCCCTGGGATGATGTGAAGGAGGTATTCCTCCTCCCCGCTGGGTGCAAGAAGTACAATGCCAAGACAGCGGAGCTCGCCAAGGCGTTCAAACCACACAAGAACGAGGGAAACGTGCTTGCAAAGGAGTGGAAGGAAGTCGCGTCGCACATCATTTGATCATTTGATGACGTCTCTGAGCTGAGATCCCTACATGCGGCACGCACGTGCGCAAGTGTATATATCAATATATATCTGGTTCGGCCTCGGCCTCAGCGGCACGCTGTGGTTTTGCTATAGGCCGCCTTAGCACATTGATGGGAAGTGTGCTCCTCCGTTCTCTCCTCCATCCTCATTCCTGTCATGCTGTCTCATGCCTAACCTGCCTGATTGCTTATTCCATCACTCCCTCACTCTTCCTCTTCCTCCCCCCGTGGCCGAGCCAGGACTTCAAGTCAAAGTAGATAGTAGATGAATATCGCATTTTGCAGTTGTCGGCCTGAGTTTTGTGTTTTTGTGCGCAGCGGATGCCGCGTGCCTGGGGTGACCTGGGGCCCACCTGGGGCCCCGGTGCCTTGGGGCCTAGGCGGCCCAGGGGTGCAAAAGAAATCAACAGGGGAAGGGGGATTGTGGGCAGATATGTGCAAGCCCGAGCCCGAGGCCCGACCCCGCCCCGCCTTGTGGGTGGGTCGCCGTCGGCGCGGCGCGACGGGCGCCCGCGCGGCCGCGGCCGCCGCCCAGGGGCCGAGCCGACCCCACGCGCGCCGGCGAACAAGAAGAGAGATCTTGTCATGAAGGAATGGGGTCCTGGAGGAAACGAGCCCGAAACAAATTGTTTTTTTCCCGAGTCGTTTCTTGACGGCCTTGGGGCCCGTTGAGGGCCCCTCAAGTTGAGGGCCGGCGGCCTCCAGAGGGCGAAGAAAGCCAGAACGTCCAGGACCCCTTTCCCCCATGACCCTGGATGAATATGATGAGGAGGGGGGGCGGAGAGGAAGGAGGAGGATGAGAAGGGATAGAAGGAGGAAGAGGAAGGAGGAGGAGGGGGGCAAGCAAAATGGCCAGAGGTCTCTGTGATGCTTCTTGGAGCCTCTTGGGGCATCTCTTGGGCGTCTTGGGACGTCTTGGGGGTCTCTTGTCGGTCGTGGGGTCGTGGGGGGCTTTTCGGCGTCTTGGGTGCCTCGGGGGGGCCCCTTGCCTGTTGGGGCCGCTCGGGATCCTCCTGGGGGCCTCCTGGGGGCCTCTTGGGGGCCTCTTGGGGGCCATCTTGGGGCCATATTGGGACCTCTTGGGGCCTCCTGTGCGCTTCTTGGGGCCATCTTGGAGGAGATCGATCAAACAAAGAGGGGGGGATTTACTAGCGAGCCCCCCCAGGAGGCTAGAATGGGGCCAACACTTCAGTAAAACCAATGAGTTTGGCTTCCTCGCTGAAGCCGTTTTGGGCGCTCCAGCGACTCGCAAAACCCCCCGCCCAGTGCCGGGTCCAGGGGGGGGGGCAGGGGGATGGGTAAACCCCTCCCCGAATGGGAAGAAGGATGGGTGGAATAGGAAGCCCCTTAAATCAACTGCGCTCAGAGGGCTGGCGGTACTCCTAAGGTAGTTATGTGCGCACCTATGGTTTCTAAGTGAACGTTTTATGTTTTGGCCCCCTGAGCCGTGACAGGGCTTAGAAAAGGAAAGTATATATATGCCCCAGCAGAAACGTTGAAAATTTGGATTCGCGCGCTGGAATGTTAACAAACCTAGCTGAGGGCCTTGGCAGCCCTAAGGCTCTTAGCTAAGTTTAGGTCCAGCCCCGCGTGCGCCAAAGCCCCAGGGGGACGTAAAGCGAGTGCATCGAGTGCGTCCTAACACCCTAAATGTCATCATCATGGGGCTTCCGAGATCGATCCACTTGGGCGCCCGCGCGCCAAATGCTTTCTTTTCGCCGCGTGAAGTCGGTATATATTCCTCTGCGCGCGCCCGATTGTCAATCTGCTGACAGCTATTTAACAGCGCGGCCGCCAGGAAAATAATGTTTTGCGCCTGTCGAAAAGCAAGTGCGTCGGTGACAAAGAATATGTATGTGGCGGAGGGATTATTAACATTCCAGCGCGCGCGTCCAGATTTTCAACGTTTCTGTTGGGGCATATATATATATATATACATTCCTTTTCTAAGCCCTTTTCACAGCTCAGGAGGCCAAACCGTAAAAAGTTCACTTAGAAGCCATAGGTGCGCACATCACTAGCGCGGCCCCCTGTTGGGGAGAGGAACCGCCGCACCGCCTAGAATGCCTGTTCGGACGGGGCCAGGACGAGAACAAATCCGTTCTAGAGCCTTCCAGAACGAACTCAGAGCATACCAGAACGCTCCGAGGAAGGCCGCTTCGCCCGAGACATCTTCCCGAGCCGCCAGATCTCCGAGATTCTCGCTGTTCTGCTCACCCGATGTGATCCTCGTCCTGGCTTCGTCGTAGAGGAGGAGGAGGAGGAGGAGGAGGGGGGGGGGGAGGAGGAGGAGGAGGAGGGGGAAACGCAAGCCAAATGCACTCCGTAGACAGGAAACTGAGTAGGGGGCCGCGTGCGCGGGTAGCACCCAGCCTTGAGATTTCTCAGGGCCGTGGTGCGAGCACGACTTATCTCCCAGGTGACGGGCCCAGTACAATTGGCCACCAGCATTGGTGATTGCCGCGAGGCGGAAGAGCCGCCGCAGTTCAGACATGATAGCAACGGCCCTTCCGTGACCCTGTGTGCGAGGGGCGCTGCTAAATGAGGTGGACACATTGAAACCCACAGTGTTCACAGTACTAGACAAAGTACGGCCAGCTCTAGCACTGCCAGAAGCCGTAGCCGACTTAGAGGCCACCCTGGGGGGCCTCATCCCCGGACGCCCTAGAGGGGCCGTTGCTGTGATATGGATCGGCGCGCAGCGCAGGGGGTGCTTTTGCTGTGAGCGCGGCTCGAACAACTGGCGTAGCACTTAGGCCAAGGACCCTGAGAAATAAAAATGGCAGCGGCGAGCAAGGACTGAAACCGCAGGCCCCTCGAGGCTTCTGGGGAACCCCTCTCGGGCCTCTTACATTCCTGGGGAGTGAGCTTGATTCGCACTCCTCCTAGGACATGCTCGGATCGTCGTCTCGGGCGTCAGAGCGGGGACTATAGCAAGCAAGCCAGTCGCCGGCAAAAACCACGGAGATGAGCAAGCAAACGGCATGCATTGTATAGCATACAAGGCATACTCAGGAATGGCGGGGGTTCGACCGCGATTCGACAAAACCCACAATATATAGCCATCCTCTCAATATACTAAACGGGTGCGGGCGTCATCACAGACAAAAACTGTGCGCGCTGAAACGAATGAAACTTCTCGAAAAAAAACGCGGGGTTATGTATGGATCTTTATCCAGGTGTAAAGACAGCGATATCGGAATACGTAAATCTTGACCGGGCGTAGTATTGGCAACGATGCGGAATCCATAAATCTTGGCCGGGCGTAGTATGGGCGGAAGAGCATTTCCGGTCCGATCGGCCAAATTGCCGTCAAACCAAGCGGGGGTCATTTTTTCTTCGGCTTCGCCGGCTTGTCCGCTAAAACGGATCCCCGCCAAACATCTCTGCCTGTGAGCTTCCACCAGCGGCCCTTGAGATCATTCATCACACTCTCCGGGAAGATCGTGAAATCGGGATTTCCGAATTGATAATGCCGAAGCAGCCGCGAAGCCTACTTCTTGCAGGTTTTGCAAGTGATGTACACACTATGCGGGTTGTGGCCGATGACCACATCATGATGAGGAATGCCAGTCCCGCGACTGAGCATGTCATTCGGCTGCACCGTCGGGGAGGATCCGCTCCACGACACAATGCTGGCTGATGAGGCTGAAACGGAACTCGATGAACTCGTCACGGAAGCCACGGTTGGTGATGCGGGAGCCGAACTTCCCTGCGACCTTGCTGATCTTGATCGTCCAGTTCCCCGTGCTGATGCTGCGGCATATGGTGATGGCGGTGGTGGTGCGATGGCAGGCGGTGGTTCTGTCGGTACCTGCGGCGGCGGCTGCTGAATCGTAGCAGATGCTACTGAACTCGATGCCTGTGCGCTGCTGAACACGTCCGCGTGGGACATCGTGATGTCACCGTCGTGATCACGGTTTTCTGGAATGGTAGGTGGTATGTTGCGGCGTCGGCCGAGCACGCGGCCGTCCCAGCCAGGGTGCTCGCCCATGGCCTTCGCCTCGGCGGCGCTCGCCTCGTTGGCGATCGCGTTGTTCTGCTTCAGGATCGTCCAGAACGCCATGAAGATGCCGAAACCGATAGTCATGCCGCCGAGGACCAGCGTGAACGTCATCAGGCAAATATAGAAGCTGTAGTCCGGCACAGGCTGTCCCTTGACCTTGCCGAGGCAGGTGAACAGGACTGATGCGAGCATGGCAGCGCGGGGCTGCCGGGTCCCATGGGTGTGTTTGCGAGCCCCGAAGAACGACAGCAGGACGCCCGCCTCCATCGTCTTCGTCAAGGCGTCCGCGACCATGGCCCAGGTCGGGATCCAGCTGAGCTTGAGTGCGCTGTTGGGGTGCACGGCCTCCTTGATCATGGAGGCGACGATGCGGAACCGCTTGTCAGTAGACTGGCCCGCATATGAAGCGATGTGCGTCACGAGACCCTTGCTGTCGCTGTAGATATCCTCAGGGCGCTCGTCGGCGAGCACGTCGATCTGCTTGAGCGCCGTCTTGGGGTTGTAGGCCTCAGTCAGCAGCTGTCGGAGCCACACGTTGGTCCCCGACCCCTCGAGGGTAGCGTAGCCCTCGGCAGCGAGGGTCGACTTCACCGACTTCTGGATTGTGCCAGAGTGCCAGGCGACGGGCAGGCACAGGTCGCACCGGCCGCCGACGACGTCACGCGGGCGATGGGCGAGCCCCATCACAATGCCCCACTGACTCTTGACGCCGTCCACGTTGGCGAACGCGGCGTCGCTAAAGCACGCGGTGATGGCCGTCTTCAGGTCGACGAGCTTGCGCTTGAGCACGGTCGCGAAGTTCGCGGTGGAGTGCACATGCGCGACTGTCTTGTTGAGCGTCTTCGCGTCGGCCACGGTAGCGACGTTGGTCCGTCGAGCTACGAAGCTCACCGGGCAGGCGATGTCCACCCGGGTCTGCGCTGCTGGCCACAACAGCTGCCCGAGCGTGTGGCGGTAGCTCGTCACCT